CGGGCGAGACGTCGCACGCGAGCCCAGCAGCGCGGCAAATTACGATCCTCTTGTCACATACCCGGCTAGAAGAGCTTGTTCCAGCTTCACAAGTTTCACCAGAGTGAGACTTGTAAACCGGAAGTAGTGAAGCAGTGAAAGTGCAAAATGCCCCCCGTCGTCAAACTGCGCCGGTTATACGTATTCACTGAGTCTTATGTTTCATGATAGATTTATTAATGGTTAATTTCCCGCATCGGGCGCGCTACAGCCCTCTCCCTTCTCTACCTAGGTGGACGGCGCTACAAATTTCGCGTTTCATTCGGTTGAATAGAGAGGTCTAACCCCTCGCCCAAGTGATATTGGAGAGATCGCATCGGAAGGGAAGATGTGAGGCGGGAGAGTCTCGTTGAGGAAAAAATTTCCTCGACGCCATAGTTGACCCGGGGTGTGACTCATTTAGTAGCTACATAGCTTCACAAGGGAATCTGATCATCGGATCGACGCTTGCTTTTGTTTGTTCAATCGCCCGAATCCAATGAACATTGCTCCGGTCCAATGGTCATAATATCATCACATGACGTGTCTGGGACATCTGATGCTCGTTCCACTGGCAGCGTCCCCTATCTGTGCCCGTTGAGAGTTCGGGACACTGGTTCCTTTTTCGCACTTGTAAGCATCAAAAATCATGTTGAGCAAAAGAATGCAGAATCTCAGGCGGGGTTCGAACCCACATCTCCCGCTGACAGCGCGAGTGCGCTATCTACTACGCCACCAGAATCCTCTAATTTCTGCTGCCCCATTCACAGTAGACTGAACAATCTGATCTAGCTACAAAGCTGGGCATTCCAATATGCCGATGCTTCAAAATGAGAATGGGACAACGGGAACTCGTCGATTCCTCTCCCTTAAGAAAACTGTGATGAATTAGTCATGGTTAGCGCCAGAACCAAGAAGGAGGAAATAGGAGGACAGGGGAGCTTCTACTGATGTATACTGTAGACTGGAAAATAGTCAGTTCGGCGTTAGTCGGGGGGGCACGGCGAATGGTGCTTGTGAGACTGGAAAATAGGCGCAGTTCGGCTTGGTGGGGGTCACCGAATGTGCTCAGCTGAGCTTGTACAGGCCGCTTTGTGAAGACATGTAAAGTCCCGCGACCGTTCGCAGATTTACAGAAGTTTAGAGGTGATCAAAGTGAGATCAATTAGTCAATATGATTTGACAAAAGGAAATCTAAAGTGCACAATGCTCCCTCCAAGACAAACAGCACCAAGCTCTTGTTAATTGCCTGATGAGATGAAATAGGAGCAGTGCCTTCTCATCAGGCAATTAACAAGAGTTGATAAAGCATCAGTCACGCCACCGCCTATAGAAAAATGAGACCAAGTTATTGGTGATTTCCAGATATCGCAGCTTTAGAAAAAAAATAGATATAGCATCTCTTTAACGTGTATACGCTTGATACCCACATCCATCCAGAAAATTATCCAGTGACTAACATCCCTTCTCCCTCCTGAATCGTTCTCTATGTCGTGCTTATTTCGTCAACCCTACCTCACTGCAGAAGCATGGGATATTTTCGATGATTGATGATAATGGTTGTAGCCGACCACCCCCTCTCCCTTAACCTTCAACGCCACTTTCTGGGTAACTTTGTTAAGACGCTTAGTCGGCTGTGGAAGGGAGGTTTCGCGGAGAAGAAGTCGTTCTGGATAGGGGTCAAACTGAGCAAAAGTTCTTCCCAACGCCAGGTCGTGCCCGACTCGCTGGAGACGGCGATGACCCGGCCCACCAGGTAGCCAAGACTTGACCCAGGGGACCCCGCTCTAAATAGCGACAAGAAAACTGGAATTTACGGCCCTTCGTGTAACCCGAAAAGATTCGAGAAGCTTTTTTGCTACTCATAGCTCACAAAAACAGAGGAAACTATCGGTTTCAACAGCCAACGGTCGGTACAGTTCGGCGACGGGGGGGGGGAAGGAGGGAACTCTGTACTTTCTCTGCTTCTTCTTGTCGAGTCGAGCCATCAAGTAGGTACGTATGAAATCCTCTGAACCACGAAATGATACCAGCGAAGTTCGTAGAGACCGTTTGTCAACTATTAAAGCAATGAACACAACAGCAGTGCAACAGAAAAGTGGAAGTGCGCCTTTTCTCCAGGAACTGCGCCTTGAGGGTCATATATCAAGCAAATAAAAAAAAACAGTTGCGGTATCAAATAAAACCTACGTCATTATTTTCGATGAGGTAGTCGATCACCTTCCCTTTGCCTTCGTCACCCCATTGAGCGCCCAATAGCACTGACACAGTGCCTACTCCAGGACTCATCAGCTGCAAACAATGTAGGAACTATGGTATTCTGCTGTAGACGACGAAAAACCACGTCAAGGAAGACGAAGTGAAATATGAGGAAAGCGTAAAGTAATGAAAACAAATAGCGATGACAAAAGGCAGATAAGAGAAAAAAATGCAATAGTAGTTTCGCTACGAGAGATAAGATGTGTTCGAGTACACAGACCGGCCTTCTTGTGCCAAGAACTTTGTTCCGCGCTATTCATAGTTACTGTAGTGCTATCGTAAAGATAAAGCAAGAAAAAGATGGGTCCTTTCTCAAAATCTACTATGTAGATGGGAATGAATAGCTCTTGGTTCAACTTTTATTGAGGACGTTTTGGGTAACAGTCAGTCTTCAGGTCCGTGTACTAACCAAGACATTACCCGAAAATTCAAAACACGACCTCTCTTCCCCTAGTCTCAACGTTCCGACGAGTAGGGAGGTATCCCAGAGATGGAGTAGGCGTGGCTGCGCACCTCATGTGAACATTACGAAGGGAGCATTACGAAGGATGCTTTTTTGATTAATTCCATCTGAGGCAACCGTCATCCCGTGTTGTGGTGGATAACGAGTTATAACTGCCAAGGAGCGGCGGTATCCTACCAATAGGGCTGCCGCCGCCTCGTTCAAATAAAGTCTGCAGCCACACCCTTTTTTATCTTAGGTATAAAGATTTTAAATTGTGAATTCAAGATGGCAAAAACCAACGAAAATTCTCTACTTTCCAAGAACGATCCCCATACACGAGCTAGAACACGAGCCCCCCCCCCCTCTCATCGAGGAATCCTTAAGATCACTTTATGCCTTGGAGGAGTAAGAGAAAAGGAGAATTAGGGACCATAGACCCAAATCACTGTGGTTTGCTTAGCGCGCATTCTCCGATTCTTTATTCTCTCGTATGAACTTGCTCTACGAAAAGCGGCAAGTACGCACATTCTGCCACATTGATTATAACAACTCATGATGGTTATGTATGCAGACAGGGTACAGCATCGTTGTATGAAACACATAGTGGGTCATACTTTGTGGCTGGGAGGGTGGAGGGGCGTATTTGGTCTGTTGGGAGGGGGGGTCGTATGCGGTTTTGACAGAAATTTGCCGCGTTGGCAAAAAAATTTCCCGGTTGTTGACTTTTCGTTATGTTTGCTATATTACGGAAAAGGGGGGGGGGGTCACCGTTGTTGACTTTTCATGATGTTTGCTATATTACCCGCTACGGGGCTGCTGTCAACCAGACGTGCTCTCGCTGCGAGGGTCCAGGGTTATTTTCACGAGGCATCTACCAGTCCAGTAGTTGGAGGGAGAAGGTAAAGGAGGGATCAGAGAAGGAAGGAAGGAAAAGAAGGAAGGAGGAAGAAAAAATGAAAGAGAGGAGAGGCTTCCCGGTTGGCAAGTGCCCTGAGGCCGCATGGAGCTGCATGAGTCACCACTGCCGCTCCTCCTTTCAGATCTCAATGCAGGGAAACAAATAATTTCGCAATTCTTAGGACATTTGCATGACATGATTCATAACCGACGGAATCACTCAGGAGAGTGAATTGCAGGAACATGCAGCCCTGAAGGATAGAAGCTAATCGGGAGCAGTTCGGCTTGTTGAGCGGGTAGGTGGGGGGGGGGGGAAGGGAAGAGTGTCTTGATCTTTAACTACTTCCCGTTGAGTTACCTTGTAGAGATATGTGAAATTTTTGTAGATTCATGAAGTGATACCAGTCAAAAACAACTCTTGTAAAGCAATGAACAAGACAGCGGGAAGTAGTGAAAGTGCCCGCCCTCCCCCCTCCCACCCCAAACTGAATTGCAACGCTGATCAATGAAAATAGAAAGAAATCTCGGAAAACCCCTTTTTTATAATGAGGGGAACCACATGGCAACTACTGAGCTAAAGAACGTGAAATTGCGTAACAAGAAGAGGATCGCCGAAACCAGACGTGGCGTCATTAGACGAACAAACAAGCGAACGGAATGATGAGAGATAAGCAGGAAACTGAACGCAGCCACCGACAAAAAAACGAACAGCTGGAAAGAGGAAGGCATATGTAATGATTATCGAACAAATCGCAGTAAGACCACATCGTAAAAAGCAACATACGCTGCCAACAGTCAAAACATATTACATGCAGATTATATGGCGCGCAATTCGGCTGAGGGGGGGGGCATTTTGCACAATCGCTACTTCCCATCGTCGCGTTTATTGCTTTGCATTGACAGGTATTCTTTACATTATTTTACTTTTGACAGCTGGTCTCTACAAACTTTGACTGATATTACTTCATGATTTCACAGGACTCCACAAGTCTTGACTTGATGGCTCAACACAACGAGGAGAAGTCTCAAAAGAGGAATACCACCCCCACTCACCCCCCCCCCAAATCGAAATGCAACGATCATTTGATCTGCATTACATCTTCAGTGGCTTAAATTACAACAATCCAACAATGTAATGTAGCTGTTAATCATTCTCTGACGAAACCTCAGAGGTGGGGGGGGGGGTACAAAAAGTAGTTTAGTTTCCAATTCGCATGTTCGTTTTCACTCGGCCGTTCTTAGTAGGCTCAAGCGCAACTTCTACCGATTATAAAGTGAACTTTTTCATCATGCCACCTTCGATGAAGCCTGGAAAGCTAGGAATTACTGAATCTCCTCCCCACCTCTAGCACTAAGCCAGGGTTCATTCAGGACTTGAATAACCGCGACAGAGTGTGAACACCAGGGTCACTTAAGATTGCTTTAGGACCAGGGCACGCCATCGCGTTGTGATCATTTTCTGAAAATTACGACCCTCCCTATTCCATACTAAAATACGACCCCCTTTTGGGAGTTGGTACGACCCCCCCCCCAGCCCCCTATCCTTCCTCACTTTTTCATCGAACCGAGCCGTCGAGCGGGGGAGGGAGGTCGTCAGAATTAAACTATCATTTTCAAGTGTCGGAAATAGTAGTGCGTCCGTGAACTGACCAAATACGACCCTCCCCCCCTCCCAAAAATGACCAAGTACGACCCCCCCTTTACAGCGTCCGTGAAACAAGAGAAATCAACTATCAAAAAAAATTTTCTCTGACCAAATACGACCCCCCCCTTGTGATGATCACAACGATGACGTCTACGATACGAATTCTGACTCGCAGAAATAAACTTCTTTCTTCATTCTAGTTCCTGAGCTCAACCGATGAATCGACAGATCGGTCGAAGCAGAACCAGAGTTTTAGAAAGACTTATTTAAAAAAAGTAACTGAATACAAAAAACAACTACTTGAAAGAGTGAACCGCAGAAACCCGTAACTTTTGCCTTGGCTGCAGACGAAGCAAGCAAACCCCACGTGAAAAATTCGACGTTATCAAATACGATCGGAATCTCCGATAATGAAATTCAAACAATTATTGCATTCCGATGGAATGAGCAATGCTTCGCAATGAAATCTGAAAATCTAAACCTAAAGAGATAAGGGGGGCCGGGACATGACCCCTGTGCACGGTCATGCTGAACAAATATTATACAGCGAATGGAGAACAAGTCGAGATACTTCAAGGCCCCTTGACCTTATAGTTGGTCCCCTGGGTTAGGAGGGGAGGGGGCTTTGATAAATACAGAAAAAATACGAGTGCTAGAGACTGATCACAACTGCCGAGGTGGTTCTTATCAATAATCATAGCCTGAAAACAGAGGACAGGAGAGATGCATACAGCTGTCCGTTTGCCCTTCGTGTAGCCATTGTAGCGGTGAGGAGGGGGGGGGCAAAACTTCCCAGCACGTGGCGATCAGTCAAGTTCACCAGCAAGTTACTTCAAGCTCAGCTGCGAGTAATTTTATTTCAGCCTGTAGAAGAAAACGAAGACGAATTGTACTAGTTTGAAAGTGGCCGTACCATACTCCTGAGAAACCTCACGTTCCCTCAAAACCCGTGCTTAGTAACAAGCAGCTTAGCACTTAACCTCCCCAAAGTTTATTAGGATGAGCAAAACGTATGAAAAAATGACATGAGGTATCCTTTCGATATGTTGGAGAACCTGCGTGAAGGCGTGGCTTACGAGGCAGTGTACACCGCGGGAGAAAATACGAGGCGAGCGAACGAAGAATGTAACGGAGACTAAAAACCATTGACACATATGTTGAGCACATATCTCAACAGAGAGAGAAAACCACAAACTAATACCCGCCTGATTCCGAGCGAACAGTTCAAAGGTTCAATTCCTTAGCCTATTACTTCGACTAATCCACAGCGATTACCGGCTGGATACCACGTGACGTTAAATAAGCCCTTAGATAAGCACCCCTCCAACGGTTAGATGGCCAAACTTTTATGAAACCTTTCAATGACAGGCTTAGTGTATTCCAAGGTAGTAGAATCAGGGCAATTCTTGCCGTTCACCAAAGTATCCCACTCCTCTGGTACGCCCCCCCCCCTCTTTCTCATACATCATTGTACCTACTGCGGTTTGAGGGGGACATCGTTCGACAGGTAAGCGACACTGGTGTCCCCCTCCTCTAGTCTTTTTCTCATCGAAGTCGTTATCCCTTCTATCTTCCAATCTCATGCTTAGAACTGCGCGGACCTGAATTCCTGGCGGTTTTTTTTCCGAGTGTCCTCTTATAAGTACGTCAGTGCCTGCTTGTCATTATTAACTTTTTCGCCTTGGAGCGTGTACATATTTATCGATGAAACTGCTTGCGTCGCGCGATCTAGGTCCGGTCGAGCGTTTGAATCGCGGACTATGACCGCACTATGAGCGTGTTATGGTGAAACCCTCACTTAAGGTTCTTAGCAAATAGTCGCCTTGAAGGGTCCGAATTTGGTTAGAAGCTCTTCGTAGTTAACCCAGTCATGTTCTTATGCCACTAGCCCAGTTGCAACATCTACCACGCACTAGTGGGAACGCGGGCGGTGCCTTTCTGCTCTGGGAGCTTTTCTTACCTGAGAGCACTCGGCAGTTGCAGCTGGTCCTAAGAGATGGGGTTCGACCGGGTTAACCGCGACCAAAAGAACTCAAAGACATTTCATGCCCTTCAAGATAGCACTTTCCTCGGGATGAATGAAGTCGTAAAGTAGCGGTTTCGCCATGATAAACGACTCAGTTCAGCGACGGCAGGGGGGGGGGGTAGTTTCTCTGCTCTTTGCTAAGTTACCACACAGACGTGATCACAGACGTGTCGAGCCGTCAGGTTTGGACAAGAGAAGCCATGAAATGATACCAGCCAAAGTTTGTAGAGATCACCTACCAAATCCTGTGAAACAAAGAAATATCATAAGAAATGCCATACAAATTCAATTTACTACGGTAGCTCGACGAGCTTCGTCTAGATTCACAAGGGTTCACAGGTTCACCAGAGTAAGACTGGTGAACTGGAACAATTAAGCAGCAAAGGTGCGAAATGCCCCCCCCCCCTCCCCCCCTTCATCGCCGAACTGCGCCATGACATACTTATGGGCAAGAAAGCTTCAAATATCTACAAAAAGTTCACATAGCTTGGCGACAAATTCTGAGATTAAACAAACAGAAAAGTCGGCACATCACCATGTATGTCTCCTTGCCTCTACACAATTACCTACAAAAGAAAATTTTAAAGGAAATTTTATTAGCTTCATAATGTAATAATCTAACAAGAAAGTCACCACAAAAATGTGATCTTAAAAAATCTATACATAAGATCTATGGAAACCAAAGGACATCGTGTACCAAGAACCGAGATCGGTCAAAAAATCGCCGGTTCAACGGTAAAATCCAAAAATCATCATCCAACAAACGACATGAGAACAACGACCGTCATGTATGACGTAACAAGAAACTAGCAAAACGACCATTTTCGAGGGCAAAATATGGAACATGGGAAGCGAACAAACAACAAACAACCAACTAACTACCTAACGTACTACTGTGTGGAATAGAAAGAGAACGACATCACATAGATAATAATACACTTAATTCTGCTCCTTCTTCGGCTCCTCGGCGGTCTTGGCCTCCTGGGCGTCTGACGTTCCTCCAGAATTCTTCTCAGCCATTTTCTTGTACGCCGCCTGAAAGTAGGACATTAGCGCTGGGAAAATTATGGCGTGAAGAAAGGTTCTTCAGTCTAACGTTTAGCATAAAGAAAAGGCTCAGAAAGGTGACGTTTATAACCGCAGGAGTTAGAGGATTGGAGATTCCCCGAAAAAGAAAGAATAAGGGGGAGTCTTCGCCGTTGACCAGTCCCTTTTTGGGGTGCAACATCAGTGTTCCTATCTGCAGACGAACCTGGTACCAATTTAACGTACCCGGAAGGTGGAAGGCTTGGTTGGTCTAGGCGGGAGCGACCACTCACCAGCAGCGTAAAGTGGGCCCACCTTACTGCCATACCGACTACCTACTGAGCTTAGAAAAGTTACTGGACTACAATATGGTTGGCTGAGGTCTGCCTCCCAACTTATTAGGCGATGAAACAGGCATTGTACCTGGGTGGTTTGTGACGAATGCCGCGAAAAAAGCGCCCCAGAATTTTGAAGCAACAGGAAAGCTACTTCCTTCTTGGCCGTTGAAGTGGCATGAAATACGAGCTCCTTGAGCCGAATCCTATCCCACCCATCCCCTTCTTTCCTGATTCCGCGCAAGTCCAATTCCCACAGTTTTTCCAACTTCCACGCTCAGGTACAATACTACAAGAGTTGAGCCCCCCCTCCTTCCCATGGCCACGGCGGGTACACTATCTGCATCTCGGCGCATGGCATGAGCAAGGTCAAACATATTCACTGGAAGTCCTTCGAAAAAGCGCTTCTTGATGAGACATTTGATACAACTATTCTAAAAACACAACAAGCAGAGGTAAGAAGAATCTCGAACCTCAAACAGTTTGAGCGACTGCTGCTGCAGTGAGCTCACAGCTTCCTTGATTGTTTCAGGCTTCTCGTTCTCCTTATTCGCAAGGATCGTCTTGGTCTCTTCGATCTTCTTCTTTAGAGCCTCAGACTAAAACTCGAACAATAGCGGCACAATCGTTAGTAAACAGGAAGAAAACACAGAAGGTAAACAACTGTCCTACCTCTTCCTTGGGGAGTTGATCAGCAAATTCAGCCATCTTGCTTTCAGTGTCATGGATAATGCTCTCCGCTTGGTTAAGTACCTGAAGGGGAATAGCTTGACAATAACATTTCAAGATTCAAGAAATACGGCAAAGTGGGTTACCTCAACCATCTCCTTCTTCTTGGCGTCTTCAGCGGCATTCCTTTCGGCCTCGCGAATCATATTCTCGATCTGATCCTTGGAAAGTCCACCAGAGGATTGGATCACAACTGAAACAGCACATGATATAGGATAATGATAATAAAATTAGATAGAAGGCTCTTCCGTGATGTAACAGTTAAAAGAGAAATTCGGAGCTGTTCGCTCCAAAGGGAGTGAGACAGGGGAAGAATGTTTTTCATTCTCGTCAGAAATGAATGATTAAAAACCTAGAAAAGATCAAGAAATCTTCCGCCTAAGTCTTGTCAAGTATGAGCGCATAATATGTCAAGTTACCCCCTTCGTAGGCTCTTGGGAAGACGAGGGTAGTTCGGTCAAAATAGTTGCTGGACTTTTCAGATGCTACCAACTTGCTACACGAAAAACTCACTCTGTTGTTCCTTTCCTGTGCCGCGATCTCGGGCGGATACATTAACAATACCGTTTGCATCGATGTCGAAGGTGACCTCGATTTGAGGCACACCACGGGGAGCTGGAGGAATGCCAACCTGAACCACAACAGAAATAGAGTAATTTCAGTCAATGGTACAATTTTTTTACACTCACCAATGAGAATTGTCCTAACAACTTATTGTCATTCGCCATTTCACGTTCACCTTGGCAAACCTTGATCTGCACCTGTGTTTGTCCATCAGCAGCCGTCGAGAAGACCTGGAGCAAATCACAATCGTACGGTCTTTTCCAAGGGAACGAAGAAGTTGGGGCTTAACATAAGCTGTATAATCCTATTAGAAGGGTCATTCAGTAATGTTGCGACTGGGAAGAGAAACAGCTGCACAGTTCTGCAGTAATGCTCCATCACCATGACAAGACGAGAGTGAGGCTGGCACATATCACAGAAAAGAGCCCATGTGACTTTGTTCAGGAAAAAGCGGAAGAATAAACCAAGTGGATCTACTCGCGAAACACCTTATAACCTACGATCAACTCTTTTTCAACACCCAAAGGAAAACAGTCCATAAAGTTTTCTTCGGCTTCTGGAGAAAATATGATGACCAAGGAAGCCAGCCGAGGGTCTTTTCACCTTTGACGTGCCCTGTTGAGAGACGGTGGTTGAACAAAATTCAAGCATGAGTGTGGGATATGAGGCCTTAGTGCTGTTTGGCTTGGGTAGGGGAGGGGTCCTTACACTTTCGCTACTTCCCATTGTCGTGTGGAATAGAGAACTTTCAAATCCTGCAATGCATCTTGTACCTGCCAACTCTTGTAATGCAATGAACACGACAACGGGATGTAGCGAAAGTGTAAAATGCCCCCTCCCCCCCCCAAGCCGAACTGCGCCTGAGGTTTGCCTTACCTGGCTCTTCTTTGTAGGAATGGTAGTGTTACGTGAGATGAGTTTCGTCATTACACCTCCAAGGGTTTCAATACCCAGTGAAAGAGGTGTCACATCGAGCAAGAGCACATCGGTGACGTCACCTGGAATCGCGGCTCAGATTTCAAGAAAAGATGAACAATCCCGGAGGATTCGAACAGTAACTAACCAGCCAACACAGCTCCTTGGATAGCAGCTCCCATGGCTACAGCTTCATCGGGGTTTACAGCTTTTGATGGGGTGCGTCCAAATACTTCTTGTACAGTTTGCTGTACCTTTGGCATTCGAGACATACCTCCTACCAAAAGGACTTCAGCGATCTCTGACGGCTTCACCTGAAACATGCTTTTGTTGGGAAACCGTATCCATCACAAAACATTCATCTCTTTCCAAGTTAATAAAAGCCCGCAATTTCACGGGACAGGAACTTAATTAAAGGCCGATTGCTGGAGCAGGCATTTATTGCTAGTGTCACTGATTGAAGTGCTGCTAGAGGCTTCTGGCCACAGTCCCACTTAGCCCTTCCACCAATGACTTCGGCGAGAACCGCCCGCTCCCGGCCTGTCCTCTACAATGACCTGTTAGGTCCAGTTGATAAATGAATAAACAATTTCGTCCGTTATCCAAGACGAGTGGGTAACAATCCTCCCGATTCGGGCGGGGAAGGAAGGCTTCTTTCGTTCACAGGGTAGCCGATACGGAATTCTACCCCCTCCCCTCTCCCCCAAGTCAAGTATATGGGAGGGCGGCCCCACCAGCCAATATATCTCTCTGCCCAACTGATACCGTCGAGTAGCAGAAGCAAAATGTAGTTTTTTGAAGAAGTTTCGGAGACAGAATTGGTGGTTAATAATCAAGCACTGGAAACCGCAACGAAAAGAGCAACACTTTTAGCAGCAACTTGACCGCACCTGAATTGAATTCACTTTGGGGAGCGAAAACAATCCAGGTGCGGTCAATTGTTCAAGCTGGCTTCAGAAATCACGTTCATCAACACCTTCATGATTTTATAAGGAATAAATAATGAATTGGCTGGAATATTCAATAGTTCTAAATTTTAACCAAATCAATAAGCACCTCTGCGTCATGCATAGCTTTACGGCAAGGTTCCACCGTGCGTTTAATGAGATCCGCCACAAGCTGCTCGAACTTCGCCCTAGAATCCGTATTCATGTCGCGTCACTCCAAATTCAGTCGAAGTAGAAACGAAATAAGATAAATGGAGTGTACACGATGGTAGGACCAACCTCGTGAGTTTCAAGGTCATATGTTTCGGTCCAGACGCGTCCATGGTGAGGTACGGAAGATTTATGTCCGTTTGTGTCGTGGACGACAATTCACATTTCGCCTTTTCAGCGGCTTCACGTAGTCGCTGCATAGCCATAGGGTCCTGTAATGCACAATCTCATTTTCATACTTGAATAAACACTACTTTCTCTTGTCTGTAATGTGACTTTACCTGGCCTTAGTGCCATTTTCACAAAAGGAAAACTTAACAAGCGGAGGAGTTCTGGCACTTCCCTCACAACGAAATATTCGAAGCACGACACGTGGGCTTGAAGAAATCTGGACAAGGGGGTTCAAGCTGCTCTCAGAAGGGTCTTTCGCTTAGGAAGAAGGGCTTAAGATAGTCTGAAGGCAGTAGGGATCAGCCCAAAGAATGGAAACTTCCACCGTTTTAATTTGACCGCACTTATGTTTATGAAGCAAAATGCACTTTCCTGAGAATCTATGGAGAAAACTGCTAAGCGAGCATACGAAAATGTACAATGAGTTCGAAAGGGGTCGTAGTTGAACAGCATATGGGAAGGTCATGAATGCGCTGAACGATCCATTTTCCTCATTGCCACTGCCGCGCCATACCGAAACAAGAAAGAACTCTGAAAATTTTTACCTTCGTGAGATCCACTCCTTGTTCACGCTTGAATTCGGCAACTAGATGATTAACCAAGGCATGATCGAAATCTTCTCCACCGAGGAAAGTGTCACCATTGGTTGACTTAACTTCGAACACTCCTTTTTGAATTTCCAACACGGAAATATCAAAAGTACCACCGCCAAGGTCATACACAGCAATACTGCAAAAGAGTAAAATAGCAGGCATGTTTTACTTAAAGCACTCCAGTTATGACCTACATTTTATCCTCTGCCTTATCCAAGCCGTAGGCAAGGGCAGCAGCCGTGGGCTCGTTGATTACTCGCAGGACATTTAAACCAGCAATTTGTCCCGCATCCTTCGTAGCCTGGAAATCATAAGAACTTAGCCAAGGGACCCCGGAATATTAGGCTTCCGAGTTACCTGTCTCTGTGAGTCATTGAAGTAAGCCGGAACAGTAATAACAGCATTGTGTACAGTAGTTCCAAGATAGCTTTCAGCAGTTTCTTTCATCTTCATCAGTACAAAAGCGCCGACCTGAAATGTAATAAAACAACTTCAGCGGATGTAAAAAAAACTGCTAAAGAAAAACTGGTAAACACACAACAGACCTGAGAAGGAGAATACATTTTTCCCTGAGCCTCAACCCAAGCATCTCCATTGCTGGCTTTCACGATTTTGAATGGCACAATCTTTCTGAAAACAAGCAGTAAAACTCTATTTCGGCGATGTTATACTTGGAACGGGCATTTTACACTTTCGCTGGTTCCTTTTGTTACTTTCTTCAACTAAAAGGTATTGTAACTCTAACAGTTGTGCCACTAGGGCTGCAGGAATTTACAGGTCTTCACAAGGTAGCTTACACAAGCTTCGATGAGCGCCATCAACTCCTCCCCACTCTCAAACCGAACTGGGCCCTAGTTTCTAATAGCTAAGCTCCCACCAGTAACACAAAAAAAGAATACTCACACATCTTTCTGAACTTCAGGATCCTCAAATCTTCTACCAATAAGTCTTTTTGTAGCATAAAGTGTGTTCTGTGAGTTGGTGACAGCTTGACGCTTGGCAGGCGCTCCAACTAATCGTTCTCCATCCTTCGTGAACGCAACAGTTGACGGCGTTGTTCGCACACCCTCTGCATTTTCTATAACCTAAAAATGAACGGAATCAATATGATGCGTAATAGCTGTATGTCTACTGGAACTACATGGAACGTGTTAATATTATTAATACATCTATCTAATATTATTAATACATCATCACTGTCACTGTTCCGCTTTATCTTGCTAAGCAAGGCTTTGCAGGTGGCACCAGATATAAAAAATACTGCAGTTAAATCGTGAAAACACTATTTTTCTTTATCGAATCCATTTTCGAAGCTGTCACTTTCTAATCAATAGGAGTACAAATCGAAAACCCTTATCTCCCAACAAATGTTGACGCAACCGAACTTCGATATTGATTGTTTAAAGCAAGCAAGTTACTAGATACTGCGAGTACGCCATCAGATAGAATGTTTGCTCAGTTTTCAAGCAGACTCTGCAAACCCAAAAAAGACTCGAGGCTCAAAAATGAAAACTGTTACAGTACAGTGATTGAAGTGGCTCGAAAAAAAAAACAATGAAAGCGGTTTGATAAGTTCTATTTGAGCAGTATGATGTCTGTACGGCAGAGATTGTTTGGTGAGGGCTCTCATGCCTTGCGACTTGGCGTTTCATTGTTTTGAGCTAATCGGCGTTTCGAGCGAAAAGAGTATATATGCAGAGAACCAACGTGGGAGAATCATAAAGTATCGTTCCGCACCCAAAAAGCCGATTCTTCAAAACGCTAGGGACCAAGGACCGGCGCCGAACGATTTTTCGCTCAAAACGCTGAGCTGCAGTGTATAAACACGGCGAACGTAGTTGAAGGGGACAATATGGCCGCACAAGATCGCGGCAACGTTTGTAGTCCGCGATCTTCTACACCTGAACCTTTGGAAAGAAATGGATCATAACTTCAATGGAGGCAACAGTCGCTTGGGTCCCAGTGTGGCCCCTCAACCATACGCCCTTTGTTTTGCGATAGCAACTGTTCCCGAAACATGGAAGGACCATATACTATGCACTGAAGTATCGATCTGAAGAGCAGACGATGCGGAAATAGATCGATACGTCTCTAGTCCTTTCTGCCAATTCCGCAACCCATCAATTCTTCACTGTGCAAGGTAGAAACGCAGCTTAAGCCTGATTTCATGGAAGAACAAAGGTAGTGGACATCAGCGCTATTCCAGTACAGGTAGGTAATTCGATGCAGAGAACAAAGGCATTTAAGACTACTGCAGACAATTTTCATTTACCATGAAAATTCCACTTATGTTGGACACGGATACCTTCGACATATACCACGCGATTTCATCACTGTTTCGTTTACTTCATCTCCGATAAAAGTGATTATTACAAATTTTACATAAAGAAATATCAATGTACCTTTGCTTGTTTACCCTCCATAACAGCTACACAAGAGTTTGTCGTTCCCAAATCGATTCCGATAACAGCACCACGAATTGCATCAGACCTGTAAAGGGCCAGATTTTCATGTTCCCGCATCTGGCAGCCTTATTCCAGTCATATTTGTGCATATTCAAACAAAAACCTTCTTACAACTTACTTGAAACGTTGAGACACGCCATTTAAGTATGTCGTTCGTGCAATTAGTCGGCTGCATGATGCAGAAGCATTGAAAAACGTCCTAATTGTGGGAATGAGCATAATGCTGTAGAGGTTACCTGAAAATATTTGGCAGTACAATAGTCAGGCAAGAAAACTGCAACCACGAGGAGAAAGCGTGGACATCAGTTAAACGGCAGAAGCACATGACAGGGGTGCGACGACGCAAACAACGACTTTATGGATGCTGATTGCGAGCGGTGAGGGGAGCAAACTAGTTCACCAGTGATCTAGACAAGAGTTCTCAATTATAACAATACACAATGAACGTTGTCGAAGTAATTAAACTAGTAAAAAAAGGCTGCGAAGCCCTCTGACCGCCTATCTCGAAATTTCGTCATTTACACTGTAGTGTCTTGTGGTCTCACAACGAAAGAGCCAGCCCTTTAATTTTTCAACCTTGCAGAACACATCCCATAGCATACGCCCTCCTTTATTTTTAGTTGTTCTTCGAAGAAAATTCGACAGTTTTTTGAAAACCAGGTGCTTTTCAATTCTACCCGGAAGTGATTGCTGTGAATTCAGATCGGCTCCACTAAGGTTTTAGGAGACGCGTGACAGCTCTGCTTTACTAGTCGTTCTTGCTTTTTTGCCGAAGTGGAACGTACCAAGAAGCTGTCGGAAATTTTTACCATGTTCACCATTTGACGGTGAAGTCCCAGATTCACAATGACTGTCCAGTTTCTAAAGTACCCGATTTTCTCAGTCATCGCTCAGTTAAGCGAAAGTAAAGCTGCGTTC